ACACAATAAAGCAGTTGTTTTACCCAGTACTTTAAATTGATGTTCCTTCGTGGAATATTCACTGTGTTGTCGATATAGCTTCAAAAGAATTGGCGACGGTGCGATTAGAAAGTCTCGTAAATAGTATATAGACGTGCTGGCTATGTTGGGAAATTTCTGCGCCAATTTTCCCAATCCCTCAAGACAAACCATCAGCAATGGCATGTGCGCCAGCACAAGCTTAGGCCCATGATTGGAATTGATCTTTTCTACGAGTCGTCCACACAAACTATCCGCACCTGCGAATTGACAAACTCTCTACAGATAAATATAAACATGTCAATGTGTATAAATATATACAGTAAATATATATATATATATATAATGCAACGTTTTGGTATTGTGAAGTTATTGATTGGTTATTTATTTAAACGTGTAAACATCTCTTCGTGCGTAAATATATGTATGTGTAAAAAATATGTTCTGAAAAATTAATATGAGAGAAAGAGAGAGTTTCCTACACAATCAAAATTTCATAACAACAACATTTCTTATGAAAAAAGACAATTTCACAAGATTTAGGTCTTGCGCACAATGAAAGAAATATTAGGGGAACGGAATAAATATTAAATAGATAAAAATTAGGAATAGAGATTAAACGTAACGCACAATAAATACAAATAAGATATGATATATGTATCATACAATATGTCTTGTATCAATTTGTATATCGTGCATTTAATCTTTATATTCCTAATTTTTTGTATTTTTCTAATATTCAATATAATTGTTATTCCTGTTACTAATATTTCCATCATTATGTGCACGATCTTACACATCAACAGTTTATATCAATTTAAAATCAATCAAACATATTGCGAAAGATTATTATCGTGCTAAGCAAAGACATAATTGTTAGTAATTAATAGCCGATATGTTAACGAGAATGCAACACACGGGTAAATCAATATACCCTTGCCGATCAGCATTGAACTGATATCTGCGAACAGCGCGGACAAATCATATTCGCCGGATACTGGAAAAATAATGTGAGAGCTGTAAAAAATCTGTGTTTGAGCGTGTATCGCGCGTGATCGAAACAGACATTGATATCTCGCGCGGCCACACTCTTCACTTGCACTTAGAGTTACGAGTACAATCACAAAACTCCTCCACAGTGTGTATTTACTCTCTCGCGAGTGCGGTGCTCCTAATTTTCGTAAAAGATACTTCCGCGGCTCGTGATCTCTGTTTCGTCAGCGACAAATAGAGCGTCACCTCACCTGTTTCATCACCAATTGCCCAGACCAGTAAATCCACGCACGCGGAGTTGGCCATTACGTTCACCTTAAAGCGATTCACCGTTCGGAAATTCGTGTCGATGTCTTCGCGCTCGCTCGCGTCGTGCTGCCGCGATTGCAGTTCCGTCTGACCTGAGAGAAACAGGCCCTTCACGAACTCCTGCACGTCCCTCGTGAACGGGGCCGGTAAGTCGCGCTGATTTTGCAGCAATTCACGCAACAGAGCCACCATCACTAGATTCATAGTCTCGCTGAACGTACGATATGGGAAAATATGTACTTGGCCAGAACTGTACACCTGCAAAAAAATTACAGTCAGGATAATAGAAGAGAATATAAACACAAATATAATTTTTTACGTATACTTAAATATTAATAGAATAAAATTAATCATGTGTAATATGAAATTTACTTGCTGCGCCTCTTCGTCTAGAAATGTCAGGATCTCCTTGGTGAGTAATTTTTTAGCCAAAGCTAATACACTCTGTAAATGCACCACGGTAAATTGCATCCCGGCTCTTCTCTCGGGGCTCTCATTACAACGCATCTGTGGGAACTGATTGAAACTCGATCCATAACGGCTGAAGAAATACGTCGTCGGATCGTATGGAACTGACAGGAAGGATTGCAACGACGGTCTCTTGCCGCAGTGATAATCGTGACTGTCGTAACCTGGCAATGCGTTGTCGATGCAAGAATTAAAATTGCCGCTCAGAGATCGTGGGATAATGGGTCTAAAGTTTGAGAAACTGTGCTGCTTCCTATCGGGCATCAAGCGATTTTCCGTGCTGCCCGCCGGCGAGGGTGTTCCTCGTCGTGGAAAGATACGGCAGAGCAATGGCGGATCCGTACATGCAAAGCGACCCATTGATCTTGCCAGACCGATTAGCACCGGAACCAGACATTTGCATAGTGATACTAAAACAATATGACAACATCAGAACGGAAATTTCTTTTATTAAATAATGTAAAACATAATTCGAAATAACAGCAAAGTGTATCTTATATTTATAATTAAAAAATGTATTCTACTATTTAAATTTCAATTTAACTTTTTCGCTAATATAGTTTGTTTAGTCTTTATTCTTTCAAAAATTATTATTTATACATGCGTATCTTCAAATTTGATTGCTGTAAAATCAAAACACACCGTTTTCTGAAGAAAATGTCTGGGGGGTTGAAAATGAGAAATCAAATGATTCTAATTATATCAATCAGATTAGGATCTGATAACTTTTGAATTTCGGTAGATTTAAAATTACCAGTAAATTCATTTTCAATTAAAAAATTCCAGTTACTACAACTAAACATTTTATTCAGTTTATTTGTACTTCAATATATTGTATATCAATAATATTAATAAGGTACTAATATTAATAAAGTACCGCCGATTATATCTCATTTTGGCTCCGTTAATCATTTCAATTCTTTTCTTTCTCGTATTAGATACACAGAATAAAGCAAAAGATAAAGCAAAAAATATAAAAATAATTTCACTAAAAAAGAATGGTATAGGAAATTAACGAGTCGGCACCTTCGCAGTTCTTGTAGAATACTATCGATGGTTCTGGTTGTTAATTAAATAAACTTACTTTTTGCTTGCAAGCCCCTATTGCTATTTTGATCCTTGTATCCGCGTATCAGATTGGTCAGGACAGCGAGTATCTCAACCTGCGTCGAGATGATTTCTTCTCGCGCCGATTCGCACCTGACCGCCACATCGCTCAGCAGTGTGTTCAGGCAGAAACTGAAACGTTCCGCAACCGGCACCCGTTCGGCGAGCGAACATTTTACTTCGTCCCGCCACACTGCCTTTGGAAGACCACGCAATAATCTCAAGAGATATGGCAAAATTTTATCCCGGTGTTGCAGACCAGACTCCAAAAAATAAATCCCTAATGCAATGGTCGCATCCTGACCCCTCTGATCCAAACGAAATATACCCTGAGCGGAATCTTGCGGACATAATTTGTACAGTTTGACTACCTGTAATTAAGCATAAAAAATATTATTTATTTTTTTCTCCTGCAAACGTTGCATTAATTCTTTGATGAAGAAAATTGAATAATTTTGTTTTAAGAAAATATTGTATCATATTTTATTAATTTATATTAATGTAGAAAAAAAACCGGCATAATTAAAATTACAGCAGATTACAAATCACAATTGTTTGTGTATGTCCCTGTGTCATAGATATAAGTTATGTAAATTGTGTAAAAACTATTTAGTCAGGTACAAAATTGCATCATCAATATAATTCCTCTTTAAATTTTACATATTTCTAATTAATATTAATGTTATGCTTTTAAATATGTACGTATACACATCTATATATATATATATATGTATGTATATACATACAAAATTATAATATTAAGTATATAAAAGTAATCTTGTATTTTATATATCCATTTTAAAAATAATCATAATTTTGTCGATTTTTTCTGCTTTTCACAAATAATTGTATATTTATATTACGTAATTTGGACAAGTTACGTTGACTGCGTAATTTCTGGAGTATATTTGGTCCAAAAATACATTATGTTACTTTTCTACGACTTTTTTCAAAGTCATTACGTGAGCTGCAATCATATTTTTTCATAAGACAGTAGCGTTAATTATTACACATCGCAAACTATAATTTCTCGAAATGGCATAATATCCTTTATAATATTATGTCACAACATGATACGTCAGCTGACATTTCCTGTGGTTAACTCCGATCGAATCGATGGAAAATGCAGAGTCCGACAAATGTCCCTGATTGAAAAATAGACGTTCAATCGAAGGATTCTCTTGGAAAGATTCTACTTACTTTTTCCCACGGCGTGGGCTTGATAGCGGCCAAACATCTCGCCAATTGTTGGACGGCGTTTGAGAAAAACAACCTCTCATCCGCCATCATTTTGTAGCCGACTGACTGATCGCCAATTCGCCAGTATTGCTACTCAGGACCGTGTAAAGGAGGGGTGCATGTACGCCACGATCATCACACGTGCATACATACAAATAATATCTATTTAAATTTTATTTATACTTTGTTAAAGTAGAAAATAACTTAAATTTAATAAAATCTTTGTATGTAAATTTAAAGAGGAATTTTATATTGTATATTGATGATGCAATTTTTTACCTAACCAAATAGCTTTTATACAATTTAACTTTTTTATATATATATATATATATATATATATCTACGACAGAGCATACACAATTGTGGTTTGTAATTTTCTGCGAAGTAACAAAAGCACATAAGTAGAAGGAAATATTTAAAAAATCCAGGGAAATAATTGACAGGAAAATGTATTTGCTTCGATAAAGTTGATTAATAAAGTGTCACAAATATGTATAAAATATGCAGAAATAAAACATCTTTTATTTTATATCCATAATTTGTTGATTTTGTATATTTCTAGTGTTTTTTTTAGATTTTTCAAAATCGTGTAAATTTCAACATTCCTGAATAATTTTATAACTTTTTAGAAAATCTCACATTTTTTACACCTACAAAATGAAATACTTTTGGAAGTCTACTTTTTAAATTTCTTTATACGCAAAAAATATTATTCATACGATAATTTCTGATTTATAAACTCTGAAAAAATTTAAGGTACCTTTTAGAAAGCTTCATGAATTCAAAATAAAACAAATTGTTAAAAATTAAGACAATATATGAGAACTTGTTTCACCAAGGATATAATAAACCTTCATATAGCTGTACATACTTTTAATAAATGATAACAACGAACACACTGAGTACATAGTCCTAATAAATAAACTTCATGTATGTACTTATTCTAAGATTTCTGTATTTTTCATCCATGATAAATAATACTCTAGCTTTTTTAAACACAGAAGTATATTCTTTTTTGATAGTTTTGTGTCATTGCTAAGTCTTTGTGCAAATGTCTTTGTGAATTCCTGATTACCACTCTTGCAAATTGAAATTTCTTTCTTCGCTACTGTCAGCAATCGATGAAGCTCGGAGAGTGCCGCGGATGTATAAATAGTTTTCATTTCACTGCCTGGTCCTTGCAAAATGGAAGCACCAGCTTCTCTTAGTGCTGTTATAGTTTGTTCATCTCGTGGTAACCACTCGACCTACATATACATACATGTGTGTTAATATAATTAGTAATAATATATTCTGATAAAAATTGTTCACAACATTTTTCAGAACTTTTAAATAGTTTTTCTTTTTAAAATGTATTTCTTACATTTTTTTGTTAATTTGATCTTTTCAAAAGTACTGAGAAAAAACCTAATTTTGTTCAAAATTCATGTATGTGAATTTTAAAATATTCCAGAATCAAAGATTTTTCATTTTAAAATATTTGACAAAATCTTACGAAAGGTTTTTTTTTCTTCAGAAATTATAAAATAAGAAATCTTAAAAATATTTCAGAATTTATATGAAAAATTCTAAACTATACATTTTCTTAGTATTTTTGCAGTGTTCCAATTTGTATAAAGATTCAGACAATGAGAAAAACTTACCAAGTACTTATTACATATATACATATGCATCAATGTATATATATGTACAAGCTACTTACGTTTTTTACATTGTCTACAATGGATTCAATTGCCGAGTTTACATCTTTAAAGACCTCATTATTTCTCATATTTTCACAGATAATCAGAAAAATATGGGCAGCTTCTTTGGCACAGTTTAAATAATCTCCAATATAGTATAGAGCGATATACGCATAAGCATATATCACATTTGTCACATTAAACGCTATACAAGGAGATGCTTTCTATAAGTAAATAATAAAATTTAATTGTGTGTGCGAGTGAATGTGTGTGTGAGAAAGAGAGAGTGTGTGTGTGTGTTATTTTAACTATAAATATTGATTTTATCATTATCAACCTGTAATTCGTTAAATAATGGTACATCTATCAAATCAGGATATTTTAAATTGCTATAAGCATCCTTAATGTTCTCTTCAACTGGTTGAATTAATTTTTTTTCTACACGAGTCGTCCACCATGGTATCCATTTAGGCAACAGCTGATCTGCCTCTCCGTTTTTTATCAGTGCTTCAAATTCTTGCCTCTCTGTTTCAGATAAGACTGACCAGAGCTCATTCGGATCTTCCAAATTAACATTCTGTAATCTAATTTCTAAATCAGGAAGCTGAAAGATACATTCATAAGAATGAGCATTTATTGAATTACAAGCGAGTGTCTAGAGTATTGATTACTTTATTACTTCTTGCTCGTCATCTGAATCCAATGAATAATCCTCTCCACTAATGCTCTCTTTGTCTAAATTATTTTCTACGAAATCATTTTTCACATCTGCCTCATGTATTCTCTTAAGGATTTCCATCATTTTTTGTCTAGTAGCTGGATCGTTCTCCTGAGACTTTAACTCGTCCTCAACGCACTGTCTATAAAAGCTCTCAGAGCAATCTGTATGCATATCAGACTTGTAACATTTAGCTCCACAGTAGCCTATACCACATCGTGGACAAGTATATAAGCGTATGCACTTGCTGCACCTAATAACGAGAAGAAAAATGCATGTTGACGAGATACAAATAAAAGTAAACAGTTTACAATACTCGGTTTCCACAAGATTTTAAATTTAATATGACATATTTTGCAATTTTGTATGAATACTTTTTGCAACATACTGCAATTTGATATCTAATATAAAACGTTGAACTTACAATTCGCAAACAGTAGTGGTCGAACTTGTAATTGGAGTCTCCATCATTTCAAATTCTGGGAGTTTTTCAGTTTTTGGAATTGATCAACTAACTTTTGCATAGCTTTTTGAGGTTATGGACTGGTTTCACTAAAGTCCTGTAAGCCTCTTTCATCAACTCCTTCTTCCTCTTCCTAAATTAATAGCTCCCACCTCTCAAATTGTAACATAGGATGGCCAGATCACGTCTAGAAGAAGAGAAAAGGAAAATGAACTGATGCAAAAGTTCAGCCAAAAAAAAAATGAACCTTTAGATACCCGAACCAAAATGCGTCCGTCATAGCCGAGTGACCAACTTTGATTAAGGCTAATCGATGGTTAATGCCCGTTTCCACCAATGTAGATTAATTTTAATCTCGGTTTCTTACTGTTAATCTTTTTTCTAATTTTTAGAACTAGAAAAAGACGAAGAGCAAATTGAACCGAAATTAAAGTTAATCTACATTGGTGGAAACACGCATTATGTGTTAAGCATAAGAAATTCAACCCATCAGAGAGTTCGCTTTCATAGAAAGGAAAGCGAAATAAAGAACTTAGCTGTTGGTACATTTTCTTATGCATTACGTTTTATACGTTATACAAAAGAGTCTGTTCCCTATCTTAAATATATCATAAATATATCGAATTGAATGACTACACATTCTTGAGGTGCGTACTGTTTCTCTCGCCAAATGTTAAACAAGGACAATTCATGCGCATCATGTGCGAAACGGAACGCACCTTTGGATTCAAGAACTCGGACTGTGTTCTAACAGCGTGGACACAGTGATTTATTAATTTCATCTAAGATAGGCTTTTCCTCTATTTCAGTTGCTATTTCTCGATTGTGCGCGCAGTCTCCCTTACAATCATATAACAATCTCTGGAAGATAAAAATAATGTATAGAAAAGATTAATACTGTCTATAAACAGCGTCTTACACTTTTTACCAATGATGCGCTATTTTACTAAAACGCAGCTTTTCGCGTTATTTAAAAAGATCTCGGTGTATCATCTTTTACACATTTTTAATTCTTCCCTTCTCTCTTTCTCTCTCTCTCTCTCTCTCTCTCTCTCTCTCTGATAAAAGGCTGCGGATCTTTGTAAAGTTTTATTAATTTTTCAATCAAAAAAGTTTTTTTCTATTTATAGCCGAAATTCTTGGGTTCTTAATTTTTCCTCTTTTTCTTTTCAATATCGGTCTAATTATATAAATACAATATAGAGCCTTCTTATTAATTTTTATAATTTTTATATAAATATATATACAGTTCGCCGTTTTAAATAATAAAAATGTACAATATATATCTATACGTATTACAGCTGCGAGGGGCAGACTAATATAGCAGACTTCTCGATACGTTTGACCGTTCTCAGCTGCCTTTATAGAATTTGCATAAAAAAGATATACAACATTCAATTCGCTTTATCGTGTGTACTTTGGACCTTATTAGCAGTAGCGGCAGCTAATTACGCAAAAAAGAATTAAAACGGAGAGATTTGTAATCGGTATACACTTTCAGTTTTTCCACACTTTTCTCTCCTTCCTCTTTTTATCCCGCGGTTCAAATCAAAGGCCCGCGATTCGCGATATATGTATAATATAACTGACGTACAGCGTATACTGACGTATATACATTACACGCGATAAGAAGCCAGGCATCATATTGCTGCTGATTGCCGCATCGTATTATCGTTTTCTACCCCACCAGCTGACCCTCTCGTGCCTTTCGATTGGTGCTCGTAAACGAGTTAACGACAAAAACAAGCACGCGGTATCCCCAGACTATCAACCAGCGGATCTGAGGAGCTGAGTTGAGCGAATGCGTCATTCCAAGCGAGTCGAGCGAACTAGGGTGTTTTACGCCTTTCGGAGTGATGTTGAGTTTTTAGAGAATTTTTATTAGAACCAAGCGTGCACTCTTAATTATACTCATCTTCACGACACCTTAATATATATATATATATATATATAAGCGAAATTATTTTCGCGAGCAGAGTTTATTCGTTGCTGCGTGTCGATCGAGTTCCACGTCGATGGTGAAATACCTGACGATACGACTTTAACAAACTTTTCCGTATAGGTGTAAGTTTCCGATCCCTTTGACTTGTCCCGACGTTATTAATATAACGTCAACCGCGAGCTCATTCTAGCATATCCACGCATTATATTATATTATCTTATCCGGTGACGCGTCTCGTAATTACGGCTAGCTCATAAAGTCGCGCTCATCGTGCCGGCAGTGCTAGAATTAGTGCCAGGTGTGTACCACACATCGTTAGAGGATCGCCAACTTTCTATTGTTTTCTCTCTTTCTCTTTCTGAAGCGGTGAGCCAGTCGTTTCAGTCAGTCTATATTCGCAGTCATTCGTAGTGCATCCGACGAGATTTCGACATGGGTATCGAGGACACCGAATACAAGGTATTTTAACGTACTTGTAATATTGTTCATTTACACACAATTCTTAAAATGTTTCTCGTTAATTGCACGAAACAATTAATTTTTCCTATCGCTTATGTATAGATGACACTTATCCGTTCGCGCGCGGAGATTAAGTTCATTTTTGTAATCAATGTAAATTAACTTTAATCTCGGTTAGACTTGCTCTTCATTTTTTTTTTCTAATTGTTAAAGTTAAAGAAAGAAACGAAGAGTTTAATATATACATATATAACTCTTTTATTAAACTGCATTGGTAGAAATGGACATTAATATAATCATCTGCCTTTAATCGCTTCCCGGAAAACATTCTTCCGACCTTGACTTTTTTTGCTTCTTATTTTCTTTTTACGTTTTAATTTAATTTCAAAGGTGAAGAAAAATACACATTTGTAATCGCGATGCCTTAAGGCTGTTTTTCAATGCATTTTCCGCCTCATTTTTAACTTATCCAATGTCTTCACAAGTAAAAAGAAATACATGTTTATTCATTGGAATTAATGTTGTTTTGCAATTCTTTAAGATGCCACGATTTTCTACTCTTATTTTTAATCTGTTCGATTTTTCCAAAATTTAAAAATTAAGCATTCATTTGGAGTTGCTGCGGTTTCCCAGTAGTCTTTTAAAATGCTATGTTTTTCTGCTTTACTTTTAATCTGTCTAATTTTCTTGCAGCTGTAAAGAAAAAAGTGCGCTGCGGTGAGAAAAATATTGTATAATACATTTTAATATAAATATTTTTTTTAATATTTAATAAATATAAATATATATATATTTATTTAATACAAGAATTATTAGAGTTTGATTAAATTATTATTATTTTTCAACAGATATTTACCCATCATAAATAAATATTATAGTACTGTTCAAACTCTATTATTTAGTACATTTTTCTCTCACTGCTCGACATCATTTTTTCTAGTCCACGTAACATGCACCTATTAGGGACTTAATTGCTTCCCGGAAAACACACGCTCCTCCGACCTTGCAATAATGATTCTTTTTGCGTTGCATTTTTTTCGATTTCCCCAATGCTAAAGAAAAACATTCATTTAGGTATAGGGCTCTAAGATTATTTTTTCATACCTGAGTCTCAGTTTATACCCGTTTCCACCACTGATGTAGACTAACTTTAATCGGTTCAATTTACTACTCATTTTTTCTCCAGTTTTTCATAGAATTAGAAAAAGCTAGTTAATGAGTAATAAAGCATTCTCCACTGAGAAAACTAATAATACTGGACCCTGAGTGCATTTGAATGCAAATTAATTAATTTATAGTATTAATAAATAATTTAACCATTTTTTAATTACAGAAGTCTGCGAATAGTTCAAATTCGAATCAAATCAAAGTGTATTTGATTTCGAAACTATCGCCTATTTTATTTTTCTTATTATTAAAAGGAATAAATTATATGTTAAAATTGAAACTATATAAAAATTGATTTGCACTCAATTGTATTTGTGTTGCACTAATTTTTTCAGTGGAAAAACGCTATAAAAATTGAACCGAGATTAAAGTTAATCTATATTGATGGAAACGAGCATTAATTTACTCTCATATGTTTCTCCGAAATTATATAGAAAGAATTTATGTTTATTTATACTGAAATTAATGCTGTTCTTTAATTGTTATATTAAGATGCTACGCTTTCCCAATCACTTTTACTTAATATACTTGTTTTTCTTTTCAAAATATGTGTTGGAATCTTGTGTGTGTTGTTTTCCGATTAACTATTAAAAAATCCTTTAAGATCGGCGTAATTTTCCGCGTCATTTTTAATCTATCCGATTTCTCTGAAGCTGAAGAAAAAAAGACGTGTTTATCCATTGGAAACTGATGCTATTTTCCAACCCTTTAAGATACCTGCGCTTTTCCGCCTCATTTTTATTCCGCTCGATTTACCCCAAGTTAAAAAAGATACGTGTTTATTCATTGGAATTAATGCAGTTTTCCGATTCTTTAAGGCACCGCGCTTTTCCATCTTATCTGCTCGATTTCCTCGAGAAACTAAAATAAAAATATATTTTATTGTATATGTTTACTCATTGGAATTAATACTGTTTTGCGGATCTTTAAAATGTTGCGCTTTTTCAAGCTGCTCAATTTCTTCAAAGCTGTAAAAGAAATACATTAATTAATTAATTGATCCGTTAAAATTATAATACTGTTTTTTAATTCCTTTAATTATTACGCTTTCTCTGTCCTCTTTCTTTCCTTTCTCGACGTATCTTATAATTTTATAGGTGCAGATCATATAAAATTCAGAACTTTTCAAAATTTTTGAACAATTTTACAATCTTTTATTTAGAAAAGTTCTCAGATTTTTTAATACAAATTGTAGCAGGAGTATTGAAAAAGCTTGTGAAAAAGTTTAATACATTATCTTTTGTAGGATCGTTAATATATGAATTATTGTCAAATATTCTAACATTTTTCAAATCTTATAATTTCTAAAAAAATACCTTAAACTTTATATTTTATAAGATTTTTTATCAGAAATTATAATGCGAGAAATTTTAAAAATATTGGAATATTTTAAAATTTACATATATAATTCTAGAGAAAATGTAGATTTTTTCAGTATGTCTAAAGTGTTTCAACAATTCTGCATAAAATTTGCACTTGTGTTTATAATGAAATAAATAATTTATTATGAAACGTAGAATATTTCTGATGAAATGTACACATTTATTGCATAGTGTGCATGGATGAATGGGGCTTAAATAATTTTTGCACTCTCTCGCAGAATGTTGCTGCTTATCGATTGTCGCTTATCTATCATCCGATAATCACAATATTCCTCTAGAAATCTAGGGCTAATATTATATTGATCGTATATACATATATGACAAATTTTTCCAGCGTGTTAATTGGCTGCAGGACAGAGAGGTTCTCGAATCTTTCTATCTTATAGCCAATTAACAGACTTGAAAAATGTCGTACGATAGTCTAGTTCGTATCCAATCTTCAGAATAAGTATTGTTTTTATCCTTGACAACAAGCATATCGAGATAGATATTGAAAATTACAAAAATAGTCTGAGATCTTATGGCCATTCATAGACGTTGCAAATTCTTGAACTGCGCACAAATTGCAAACTTTTTATTTATTTATCTAGGCGCAGAGAGAGAGAGAGAGAGAGAGAGAGAGAGAGAGAGTGTGTGTGTATTTATCATTTAAAGTTTAAACGTATGCTGCAATATGCAAAGCCAAAACTGCATGCAACGTGATGAGATATGTACTTTAATCCTGTCGTATGACGAAAACTTTAATTCTGTTCTATATCTGTCCCGAAACGAAAACATATTGGGTAGAATGCATAAGTTTCATTCTATAAATTCGTTCGTAAACGGATAGATAATCATAGAAATAGAGAAGAATAGAAAAGTCTGGTTCTCGAAAGTATTTTCCCTTTGCAACCGTATACCGAAAAAAATCTTTGATATATTTGTTAAAGGAGAAAAAAATCGAATTCGTATTAAATGTATAATAACGCGAAATGTCTTTATGTAATCTCGTTTTAATTCCTTATTATGTTTCTTAGAAAAAGATTACGCAACTACTAAATGGAAAGTGTTGATAAAATAATTAAGATTTAAAATTAAAGATTTGAAACAAAAGACATTGAGAATAGAAAGTTGTTAATAGTTTTTTTATGTGAATTGATTAAATTATTGAAATTTAAAGAAATAAATATGTAAAGATAAAAAATCAGAGATAAAAGAATTTGTAGATAAGAAATCGATTTAAGAGTGGAATAATATTCCCGCGATATAATATTCAAGTTCGCGTCTGCAGAAGAAGATAAAAAAAAAAGAAAAATTTCTAAATGTTGCACGAAGCATTAACAGAGAGTAGAAAAATATAAAGTAGAGACATCATCGATTTATTTTAACTCTCCACAACGTCATTTGGTTTTTGGAAGAAGTTACATATATCCTGCATGTACTTTTAAATTTTGTTGAATTAATTAACGTTTATTCATCAGTTATCTTTTGCGTCATTTTTTTAATAAGCAATTCAAGTATAGGAGATTACTTGCACCTTCTATTATGCTCTGCGTCATGTATTTTTTCTTCCCCCAAAATTCAATAAAAATGCGAGAAATGCAAATTCTTCTTGTGCAATAACAAGCGGAACATAAGTAAAAAATGTGGTCAAGAAATGCTCAATATCACATAAAAAGAGATTATTATCAGTATCGGCGTTTATTTGGTTTTTTTATTTTTTTATAAAGATTTTATACAGAATTATAAACATAGGTGTGTGTCTGCAAGGAGGGGGACACTTATACATACCCCTTACTCAAAGTTAGCATGGAGAAACAATTTGATTATGAAAATCATTTTTACGATGAAAAGTTAAATGCTCATTGTCCAATTCGTGGCTTATTTATTATGTATTATTTGTAAGGAAATTCGTTATATAAAGATTCTCGAAGACTTAATATAAATATTCTAATAAATTTTGTGAGAAGATATAAATAAATTTTTACTCTGATTGCAATTCTGAGTACATTCATGATCATAAAGACTTATTAGCTGTGACACACAAGTGGTAAAACCTGAAATCATATAAACATTGCAAGAAAAAAATCTAATAACTCATTTGTTTAACACAAGTATGTACATACATTTACATATATTTTACATTAAATAGCAGATTATACATATATAATAAATGGCGGTCTCTTTATGTGCAAGATGATTTGATGTTTGACAATATACACTGGAAGCTTATAATTTAGTATTTATAGCAGAAAGACTTATGTCCTACTCTAAAATGTATAGATTAATTTATATACTAATGTAGGATTATTAATTTTAATCTGTATTCTCTTTCTCTCTCTCAATTTATTTGTATTTATCTTCTTAAATTGTAATTCTAAAAATTAGGAAAACAAAATGAGATTGAGTTAAATCGAAATTAAAATCAATCTATATTGTACATTTTGGTAGAAATTTGAGTGCTCTACTTGCTGCTTATTTCGTAATTTCGACTAATTGTTTAAGTTATATCCTTCTGTGAAAAACTTAATTGATTCTAATACGCAATGATGCTTAAGAAGAAGAAGAAGAAGGTACGGTAGCAAGTACATGGAGTGGAAAGTAATTATTTTTGTCTCCCTTTTTTTTTTTTACATCTAAAAATATACAGGATTATAGGATCTCCGCGTTCACCAATATATTTATATGTATATTCACACAGTCAAGGGCTGACGTAAAAGTAGGTAACTCTCATCATAAGAAAACGACAGAGAATGACATTCATTTGTTTTTCTGCGAATTCTTTATTTGTCGCGTCTGTGTGAAGCCAGAGATTCTTACAATTAGTTTTGAATTCGTAACCTACTACATAGTGACTAGGAAATAGCTAGCTTTAAACATTCAAGGTTGCAGCCTGTGAAATGCGCATTATTGAGATCCACTGTCTAAATAACGTGACGTCATGATGCATACGCATGCGTTGGTTTGCGTTTTCCTGTCAACAGCAGATGATCTCGATTACGTATGCACGATCGCCTCTTTGGCATGATACTCTTACAGTATTTGCTCCATATATAATTATCACAAGTCCGTTGAACAAACAAACGGACAAACAATCTCAGTAATTGTGTCGCACGTCTCAGATTCTTGGTTACTCTTGTTACATATATACCTTCCTTGCCGAGTAATCGTTTAGATGAATTATCTGTAGTCGGTGAGAGAAAATTGTGGTCTAGTTTTAAGAAATTACAATTAGAAGATACGATTTCTTCTATACATTTAGCTTTAATTGCAATTAATTGTGACATCTTCTTTTTTTGTGACAGATGTCGGAGAAGAATCCTGAGATGAGGGAAACCGCTGCAAGAATCTGTCGAGATTACTTGCACGGTGTATGGAAGCACATTACAGCGGAAAATATCGTCCTCAAACGCGTTAGGTTTGTGAAATTTTTATATTTGTATTTTCGTACAAAGAAGTTGCTTTTCATTGACACAAGCAGTGACTTATTTTCTTTCGATATTCAGCGAATAATGTACAGAGGGTGAGCAAGGACACAGAGTGTAACAGACAATGAATCGTTTCCTTTTTAAAATGTTGCTGAACAGCAAGGATGCAATGTGATTCATATTGTGTTATATTGTATCCTTGGGAAGTACCCAAAGGTAGAACAACACTTGTGTCGACTTGTATCACCAAATGAAAAGCATCCATACATGACATCATCCTGATAATATTTATACATAGAACATATGTAGGTGTAACATCCTAAGTAGAACACAAGTCATTGAAGTGATGTCAGAATGGCTCCAAAATGACTATTAAGAGTTATTTTTTAACGAATAACAATTCATTTTGACATTATCGTGACTCGTTGTGATGTCTGCTTGAAAAGGCATTCAGGTTGTTTTCTGAGAGAATGCTATCGGTTTATGTGTCATTCTATTTTATTATCGTTCATTAGATATAAAAAAAAAGGACGGTGCAATAGTGCTGACAGTGTGTTTCCTAAACGTAGTCTTAAATGCGTATGCTACACATTATGTTATGATAAAACAACAGGCAGGTGAGATAAAATACGTATAATTACTTTCAGTGGTGGTTTAAGTAATTGGCTGTACAACGTCCAGCTTCCTGAAGGAACGGTTCCGATTAGGGGAGAACCTCGTCAAGTTTTGCTACGTCTTTATGGGCAGGTGCATGGAGAAAGAGCCTTAGAAGGACTCATCACAGAATCCGTCATCTTCACCTTGTTATCCGAAAGGAAACTGGGTCCCAAGCTGCACGGAGTGTTTCCTGGTGGCCGTATAGAGGAATACATCCCAGCTCGACCTTTGATTACGAAGGAACTGTCGGATTCAATCTTGAGTCTACTGATCGCGGAAAAGATGGGACAGACACATACGATGCAGATACCAATTAGCAAAGAGCCCACCTGGATATGGGACACAATGAATAATTGGCTCAACACGACGACAGACATTCTCGAGAACATTGACAACGAGGACATTGATACTCAGCAACTGGAGAATATTAGCACGATAAAATGTATCAATTTTGAGCACGAAATCAATTGGCTCAAGTAAGTATGGAGTTTATAGAGAAGACGATGACATTCTAATTTCCAGCAATAAGTTTCATTAGACTGCTATATAAATGAACAAAGTAAGACAATAAGTAAAGGAGAATACGGTCGAGGTTAGATTTTGAGATACCTTGATAATAATATGTATGTAAATATTAAATATCTTATAGTTTTATTTTATACATCTTATAGTAGTTGTATAAAATGTAAATTGGATCGAATATTGTCGAGCTTGAAACATAATCATAAATGGAGGGTGAACTAATATCATTTCCATTTTCAGAACATTTGTAACGCAGCAAAAATATCCGGTTACATTCTGTCACAATGACATGCAAGAGGGAAATATACTCCTGCTCCAAAATACGCGAAAGCCCAAGTTAGTACTCATTGACTTCGAATATTGTTCCTACAACTACCGAGGATTTGATATCGCCAATCATTTCGCCGAATGGCAATACGACTATACAGCGCAAGAATATCCTTTCTTTCACGAACGTCCGGCTGCTGGTCCCACGAAGGAGCAAAAGGTAAGCACGAATTAAAGAAAGACTTGGGCGCGATCAAGTATGTAATCCGGGTAAGATATCTGTTCAATACGTTTCATCCAGTGTTATCATATCATGAGTTTTTTCATAAGCGGATTAAATCGTTGATAATATGTTCATAAATAAAAGATAAGTATGTACATACATACATTAGGCATGAAATCAAAAAGGAAAATTGTAGTAAACAACGGGAAACTTCTCATAGCAATTCATATCGACAATTTCACATACTTTCTTGTAAATAGGTAAGAAATTATTTTTTTTATGTTTTGTTTTTCACGATTACAATATGATTGATATTTATTTGCATCTGATTCACACAGAGATACAAATATATATTTAAAAATAATCCATGCATTTTATGTAAATCGTCGTAAAAATGTTACGTAATAATAAATTATTTGTCGAAATTTTACGATATTATACATATATAGTAAAGACGCGGTAAGGCAACTCTTTTCGGTTGCCAATTATTATGCTATTCGGTACTGTACCAGGACAACACAGTAGGTAGGGTGTCGGCTTGGCGTGTGCTGCGTGTGTATATATTAGTTTCACAGGACTGCAATCCATCAAGACAAGGCTGATGCCTGCAAACAGAGAAAAAATCTGCCGGCAATGTGAAACTGTGTCTGTGCTGTGATGGATCCCGACTTTGTGGGTGCTCTACATTTTTGGAACCAGGGTGCCACCGGTACCACCATCTTGGCAGCACCAATCCGCTCATCTACGATTCTAGAGTACCTGTACACTCTCCTCACTAGTCAATTCATAGCCTGCGTACTCTTTCGAACGTATCTTTTCGGGATAGCTGTGCTATTAAAAGTGCATTATCTTCCATTGGAGCACTTTAATTGACACGCGTAATTATAATACGTGCTGAATTCATATCTAAGTTCGCAAACGGTTTTTCAAACACGATTCAGGCTACTGACGATAATTTATCGTGAAATGTTGAATGGGAATCTTTAAATAATTAGAAGATACTTATCTTCTCTGACAGTAACAAATAGGCGTGAACAATTATCATATGGATCATTTTATTTCTTTACACAGATAAAACGCGCATCGTTTCTATATACTTTACTTCGTCATGCATCTTAAATTATTCCTTTTATATTTGTTTAAATGCCTGATATTTATATCTCATTTGTTAGCGATTCGAGCTTTGTGTATGTCTAATTTATTCATATTACTGTGTACAATGTTCTTAATGTGTCGTAAAAGTTATTTCGGTGATAAACTATAGAGTTACTGTATAGTTTCATATATCTCACAATGAGTATTTTTAATATACGAATGAATTTTATCAAGAGATTGAAATTTATTAAGAGGAATGAAATTTATATTCGAAGATAGTTACTTGATAAATGTATCAAAAGATTATATATACATATAAAAAAAGTTATTAAATAAATCAAAGTACATGAGTGTAGGGTAACTCTCTACGCCTTCTCTTTGTACAATTTTTACAAAGTGTTTTTTCTCTCGACAGCTCAACTTCATAAGAGCCTACCTAAGAACATTGGGCAAAGAAGGATCTCTGGAAGAAGAGCGCATCATGACGGAAGTAAGGATATTCTTGTTAGCTAGTCACTTATTTTGGGGTCTCTGGAGCATCGTAAACGCGAAACTTTCACAGATTCCATTCGGCTACTGGGTATGTATTTTTGGTTTTGGTTCGTCCTCATTTTGGATGACGCTTCTAGTTGAATCTATTTCAACATATAGACATTGTTACATGTTTTAGGATTATGCTGCCTCCAGATTGAAGAACTACGTATATCTGAAAGAGAAGTTTCTCATGTCTGGATTACCAGGCTCGGATAACATCTTAAAGAGAAAATCTATGGATATAGACTGAAAGAGCAAGATTGAATAAGGGAGACGATACACATCCGCAAATTTATATAACATTTTGCTACATAGGTAGCTCGCTTCGTTCAATCCATCGATCCTAACTGATGGTATTAATTTTGACGAGCAGCGAATAACTCTTAATTTTGAGAGAGAGAGAGAGAGAGGGAGGGAGGGAGTGTGCGCGCGTGTGTAAAGTCATTATTTCATACATCACGAAATAATGCAACCCGCTGCCCCTCGCTAACCTCAATGCAATATGTGCATTGCATGTATACAATACACAATGTGAGCAAGGAGAAAAAATCGAGAGTGAAAAAAGTCAATCATGTGATATAGAATAAGCGTATACTTAAACGTATGGATCTTCGTTTGGTACTTTTAACTGTGCGTCCACAATTAATTTTTGAAACTAAAAATGTACTTAATTTTTTTAATTAAAAAGATAAACGATGATATTGGCAATTTTTAAAAACAAATTCTTTCTTAATAAGGATCGAAGTTGACGAAAATCTGAAAAAGCTTCCGAGTGTACAGAATCATGTGCTCAAATTGTGGAAAAAGTTTGTAAGGCATACATTCAATCACTTTTTAGCTTTTATATATTTATTATAAGAATATGCAAGATTGTTGCCAATCCCCAATTCATTGCTTGATCGTTTACTCGTTACATGTAATACGTATAAGACAATTGTAAATAGGACTAGTAATATATTTGCTATATGCTATTTTTACTTAAAATTGTACAAGTCATATATTGTATTTAAGTATAGGTACTTAATATTATACAAAAGAGGACAGCATTAGCACTCATTACCGATATTTACCAACATAAAACGCACTGATAATTAAAACGATGTATTTTCACCAATTTCCAAATAAAACATTTACTTCTTGTTTCTATTTTGTATCTTCCTATAATTTAATATATAAAAAAAAAAGATTGCAATTAATATCAACCTTTTCTTCGTTTTTTCAATCGAAAGAAGAGAAAAGACAGATATAAAGGATTATGTCCACAAGTGCACATGTAACAAATAATTTATTTGTATTTATTAGCGACTTGTCAAGAAACTGATTTTATAATTGTGAGTATGCGAACCAACATTCAGCTGACACAACAAACGACATAGTAAACCGAAAGTGATCTGTATTCTCAGAGAGTGAGGATTTCAGAGGCCCTTGATTCCAAGAGTTTCTCCATCGAGCTAACATCTTTGCACCACCCATCAAGACGTTGTACCATTCCGGCGATTTGGCTGCGATCTAGGACACGTGGTTGCACCCAAGTCATATTGACAGTGCCCGCCACTTGATCTATGGCACCTCGCACGAGACCCTGGGCAAGAGCTTTCATTACTAGCAATTCCACTTCGCCAAGAGGTAGACGTGTCTCTTGAGAGATCTCCGTGAATGTCAGTTGTCTAAATAAGAGAAACGATAATAATATTGATGATGACAATAATTAATAATAATTAAATAATTTTCTTAATAATAATAATAATTATTATTAAGGAAATCATTTAAATTTGCAAAAATTTATACACGCTGTTAGTTTCGTTCCATCTTTATCGCTCATCACATGCAAAAAGAATATGACCAAAGTGAAAGCAATTTTATGAGTACTGTGTATTCATAACTGAAATATTTGAATTACACACACCGGTTGTTAGCTTGTCGCTTGAAAGTCATTTCCATGAGACACAACAATGAGATTTTTTGTCTCAATTTTAATTCCTGCGCCGCTAAATCAGCTACTTTACTCCATTGTGGCTTCAATCTCTCCAACGCAACGATATCACCGGCATTAAAAGCTTGCAATAAATCGACGAGCCAGTTGTTTGGTGTGCCTTTTAACGATTCCAAGACTGGATGCGCTAATAATTCTCCGAGATTATAGACGCCTTCGCCCAGAAGCGCCGCAAGTCCGAGAAAGAAAGCATGTTGTTCTTGCTCTTGTCTGTTTAAGCTGCTTAATTCGATGCAACCCAGATACCTTAATGATAAGGAGAACATTTGATGAGAAAGATCACATAATCAATTATACAAAAAATTCACAGATTTTGGTCAATCTTTTCCTAATTAGTTTATATATGTTATGTGTAAAAATACGTGTACGGAAAAGCGTTTAGTTGCTCTGCACTCTGTCGTTAGATTAACAATCTGCGAATACAGGTTTGATTCCCCAACGTTCTTCATACATGCGCAATTTTTTACTCGTTTGTGCTTTTAAGAGACAAAATTACCTCGATTACATCTAGGCAAAATCATTACAATACGTGTAAAAGTACCTTAATGCTGTACGATAATATTCTGCGTGTTTGCCCTGCAATCTGTATAATCGACTGGCAAGAAGGTAAAAGCGTCCATGAACCGTCGTAATGCCATCAGCGTTATCTAACATAGCTTCAACTTCCTCTATAATCTTCTTCGCTTGTTCCTGATTGTTGAGTTTATCCAACAGAATTTGACCCTTGAGAACCTTACAAAGGGCCACAGCTTCATTATTGCTTTGGACCTTTGTCTCTGTTTTCTCCAAGAATTTAATCGCATCTTGATTATCTTGTAATTGTGGGACTACATGGGCCAGTATCTCCACCAACGACAATGGATTTATTCTTCAAAAACATAAAGAATCTCATCAATAGAATTTATTTAAAAAAAAAAAAAAAAAAAAAAAAAAAAAAAATCTTAATGGGATTAACAAAGAACAACACACACATTAGTATAAATAGAGAATGAAAAGATATGTTACACATCACATAAGGTTTTAATGCTATTTTTGAAATATAGGCTGAATTCCATTGTACGCATAATGCGCATCAGGTATCACTTTATCCTTATTGTTCGCAGAACGTTAAATAAAAATAAAATGAAACTTTGTGCACATCACGCGTGCAACAGAATGCAGCCATAAGTTAATTGGTAGTGCTCACTTATTTTCAAAGGTCGACAAGAAGTTGACGTAGAGTTGCACGAGATTATCTTCCTGTTGCAGCACTGGATGTTTTACAAACGTCTCCAGTTTCAACGTTAACTGATGCCAAAGCCTGCAAGTCACCGAGAAAGTTTAAAATCATTACATTCCATTATCCTGTGAAATTCTTTCGCAGAAAATATCATATTACCGTTTGCTGTACAGTTCCTCGAGCTGCGCCCATTCTGCGGCCAACTCCTTGTCAGCAACGTTTTGTTTTTGACTGAGAAAAGTGTTAAGATCTTTCACTGCCACGGTTACTGCCATGCTTGATCAGCTTGATACAACTTGATGACACAACGTTTTGACCGTCAGAAATGCGTTCCAAAACTCAATTCTGCCAACTCGGAATCTCATTGGAGTCTCATTTATCCTTGTTCAATGGCCTGGTTTACATCGTGCACTTGATACGCGTACTAACTAGTTACTTTCTATTAAATTATCTTAATTTCAGCAATGTATTTAAAGAATGATGTATAAAATTGATACAATACGCATCAAAATGTTTAACTAAATACGTTTATTGTATATACATTTACAAATATCGCTGAAATTAAGATGATTTAATAGAAAGTAACCAGGCCAATGTAATCAGTATGCGAATTGACCAATCACAGTTGAGAACGAAAGAGGCCGCCGACCAATCTCTGGATATCGATCATGAAACTTTTTCCCTAGCGTGAATAGTGAAAAGTGAAAAATTTTATGTGAACTTGTGAAAAATGAAAATGTCACATAAAATGTGAAATTTAATCGAAAAACGGCAGTCCCATCGAACTGAAAGAAGGATAGCGCTTATCGATGAGATTTTTTATCTGACTGGCTTGTCGACAACTTGCCTAAACTGAAAGTTTTAGGGTGTAAGGGAGGATTCACACCTTGACGGAAAAACGGAAAGCGGAAAAGCAGTAGCCAATATCAGGTAGTTAACTTTCTGTTAGTTTTGTACTATTTACTACCAAAGTGAGTTCTAATCGGTTATCTGCTCTTCCGCTTTCCGCTTTTCCGTCAAGGTGTGAACCCGGCCTAAACCCATGCAGCGGAATAGCGTAACGCGGAACGAGAGTAGAACCAATCACGAGATTCTCTAGAAACACGAAATGCTCGTTATTGGTTCTGCTCTCGTTCCGCGTTACGCTATTCCACTGGGGTGTGTTCAGATTCCTTACTCAGAGTAGAAATATTTACCCGACCCCGTTCAGATAGTATCTGAGTAATTATTTTTTGACTCGGTAGACTGCGTTCAGATCGCTAAGTTAGAGTAATTGCGTTAACTCTAGAGTCGACTTTTCAACCCATCATTTTTCATCGGTTAAAGAGTTACTCGGCGTATTTTAGCGGCAAGTTTGAAATTGAGAATACCAAAAAGAGTTCCGAAGAACCATTATTAATAGGGTCCCCTGCCAAAATAGGATGAAGACGATTTTCTAACAGTTCGAACGTACTAGGCAACATTCTATAATGTTCACGGAATTGTTTTGTATTAAATCTTGGGACTGTCTCTTCTACATAACCTTCAATTCGTATAGCTTTTCTCAATGGGCCACGTAGCCTTAGATGGGCTTCCAATAAAAATGCCTCGACCAACTCTTCCTCTTCATCACTATTTTCCAATGTTTCACTGAATATTGATCTGAACAGTTGTTCAGTCACATTAATGGCCATAAGCACAATGATATTTTTTTCGTAATCCATCTTTTTCCTTTCTTTTTATTCCTTGCCACCATATTTTAACCCAAATGACAACCCGAACCGTTCAGAGCCACCTGTTACTCGGAGTGAATCAGCCGAGTTAGAATCGAAACTCTAGATAACTCAACCCTGGGTCGTCAGGTTGGGAATCTGAACACACCCCTAGATGGGTTTGTACCCTTAAGATGCTGAAGCGCCCTCTGATTGGTTCGTAAGGGTCTACGCACAATAGGAGAAATATTAGGAACAGATATTAAATATAAGAATTTTAACCTGTCAGAAAGCGCACATTCCACAGTACACAGTTCTGATAGGTTAAAATTCTTATATTTAATATCTGTTCCTAATATTTCTCCTATTGTGCGCAGACCCTAAGGGTCTGCGCACAATGGAGGAACAGATATTAAATATTAAAATATTAACCTATCAGAATCGTGTATCCGATGTATCTGGTATCTGATAGGTTAATATTTTAATATCTAATATCTGTTCCTCCATTGTGCGCAGACCCTAACTCTTCAAGACTGAACTTAAGACGGTCTTGAATATAAGAACTGACTATGAATACCGGCCCTAGTCCTCTTGATTGTAGCGCAGTGTTGGACAACGAGACACGTTAGTGCTGGTTAGTGCACGTTAGCATCACAGTTGCAAGCGGGAAGTGGGTTGGAAATTGCATCACTGATTTCAGACAAAATGTCTTATCAATTGTATAGAAATACGACATTAGGAAACACGCTACAAGAGAGCCTTGATGAGTTGATACAGGTGTATACATAATGTTAATACATAGGTTAGATTTAGCATTTTAGGTGGTATATAAAGAAAAAATAATTTGTTTCAATGAACGATAATATAATTTACTATGCTAGCTAAGTTTATCATTTACATATGAGGAGCAGACTTTCAAAATGCGTTTTCTCTAAAATTTATAATTTTCAGAAAACGAGAAAGAAAGCCACAAGAAAATCACGTGTCTTATAGAAAATAACAATTTACCAATCAGAAAGATGTAAAATGTTAAATATAATTGCTAAACTATTTCTAATAATGTTAAACAAATGCGTTTTGTTTGTTTCTAGTTAAAGGACATAATGCACTTTGAATGTTTATACTTTTTTCAGCATATAAATAGATGGTGAAAAAATACTTTCAGGACATCGTAGTATAGCTTAAAATATAAGTCTTGCAAAACACTGAACATCTCTAATTCAAAAAATAAAATTTGGTTAAAATACAATCTGCTCCTTATATAAAAAATTTCATTTACGTTATAAAATTAAAAAGATAATAAGTAACTCTTGCAATAGATTCTGATTCATGTATTCTTTATACAATTAAAATCATATTTGTATTGTATCTAATAATGAGATGATATATATTTCAGTATGGACAAATAACGCCACAGCTTGCAATAAAGGTGTTACTACAATTTGACAAAGCTATTAATCAAGCTCTTGCAACGAGAGTTAAATCAAGACTTACATTTAAGGTAAATTTCTTCAGTTTTGTGTAATTTGTTTAACTTGACTTTATTATATTCAGAGTCTAATTTAAATGAATTAACTTATTGTACAGGCTGGCAAATTAAACACATATAGATTTTGTGATAATGTGTGGACTTTTATGCTAAATGATGTTGAATTTCGTGAGGTTCAGGAGGTTGCGATAGTAGATAAAGTAAAAATTGTTGCTTGCGATGGAAAAAGTAAGTATTGATGCTAACAAAAATATGGCATAATGTACGTATCTATTTCGTAACTCAAATTAATTATTGAACAAGTAATAATTTATAGTTATTTATCATATTGTTTATTAGTTTTATACTGTTCAGAATAAATTTTTATTATATAAATGTTTTTTTCAGCATTGGATGCAGATGGAGCAGCAAAACGATAACAAATTTAGCATTTTACATATGCATGGGAAATCTTTCTTTACACTGTTAAAATAATTTTGTGACGAATTACAAGACAAATAAGTCAAAATAATGTAAAAATAGGTATATATATATATATATATATATATATATATATATATATATATATATATAAAAATATATATATATATATATATATATATATATATATATATATATATATATATCTATATCTATGTATATACATATTTCTTCCAAGTAAAAATTAACTACCGGCAGCTATATAGTAATATATATTAAAAATATAATTTTTATAACTGGATGAAACTAATACTTAACTTGCATAATAACGATACTTTTACTTGCCTATTTTTTATTTACGTATAAAAGAATTTAATATCTTGTTAGAAGTTTCTATGTAAATTTGAACATAAATTCAAAAAGGGCATTATTATTATTAATATGTGGACAGGTGTTAAGATTATTTTATAAATTATGTCATATGTGTGAAGAATGATGGAAAAGATGAGAATGTATGATTAACTTACAATAATTTATTAATAAGTAAATACATTTAAGTTCGTTATAAAAAGTAACGTACCTATACTTGTTATTGTAAATAATGTGCTTTTTCTGATATTTCTATTATGTGGCATGGAGTTTAATAAATAAAACACAACTATATTCAGAATATATTGACCATCCAGAAAGAAGCAAGGTACAATATTAATGATTGCCAATCCTGCTGAAAATACTGTAATATATTTACAAAGTAGCGCAAAGGACTCGGGTAATTCAGGATAAAAGAAAGAATTTTATTTTGGCACCCAACCTGATACGTCAACAGTCCTGTAAATGTCTACTGGATGACCCAAGAATAATATATTCTTGTCCATTTTTCTCTTTATGTGTATAATCTGTAATTTTAAATCGTTTTAAATTGTTAAAAAAAAGTAACAATTTTGAAAATCTATAATATAGAGAATAAATTATATTTTCTATTTCTACCCACTTTTGTGACATTGTCTAAAGGTTTCATACAATGAGTATCGTGAGATAAACACTCGTGACTAGCTTGACAGAAATTTTGTGACTGCTTAAGCATTGCCCTTACTGAAAGGCAAGAATGCAGAGGTAAGTGAAGAGGAGCAATTTGTGGTCCTTCAATATATTCAAAACACAGATTGTCATTTATTTCACTGTCAGTTGTACAACAATTCACAGCACTGTTCGTTTTTTGTTTAGCTGGTACTGACTCATCATAATCCTACAAAATAACAGATGTAACAAAGTTGTAATAATTGAAACTAACAATAATACAAATACTAGACGCTGAACAATAAAATCATGATGTAAATATCTTTTAAGGAAAATACCTGAACAAATGACTGCTTAACACAATAGCCAGGAGTAGAATGCTGTACTGCTTGCAATATAAAATGGTACCAATCTTCACTATGCTTCACAGGACAATTATTCAATTTGTATATTACATCATATTCCAAAAGACCAGTTGGTCCTGATACAGGTGAATTCTATGAAAAAATATAATAAAAGATTTTAATAAAATATTTTTTGTTACTTACAGGTAAAATAGTTTTTACATAAACCCCAGAACCAATATTATGAAGTGGTGCCCATAGCCACGTAGAAAAAACAAGAATTGCTGTAACTATATTGTAGCAAGAATGATATTATGCCAAATTTCTGCACATGCAATACGTAGCTGATTTCTTAATGGCAATGCGACTAATTGTTCATTGCTTATATGTACGTAAGCTATTGGAACGATGAAAACAATCACAATTCCTAAACCAAACAACTGCACATCCTCTCCTGCCGCAGCAAGGTGTTACGTCCGGTATGGACGTCAGGCAAGGATGATAGCTATTGCACCGACTGAGTGGTTGTGTCACATCGATTTTGAATCGTTGATATGATTAAAAGTCGTAATCATTATCTTTGAATTAAAGAGGATTGAAAGAAATCCGTAGGCCGAGCGGAAACTTCCGGATTTATACCTCTATAATTATTAGACTAATAATAATCAAGTTACTTTCTGTGATAAATAGCTTTAAATTTTAATATAAATTAGCAAATGTGAAAAATATTAAAGTAAAATAATAATAGTAAGATAATAATAAAATAAAAATGATAATAGTAGTGAAATAATAATAATAATAATTAATACGTAATAATTGTCATGAATAATATAATATATATACATTTATATTTTATCTAAATGAGTAGCATATAAACGAATTAAAGAAAAGAGAATGCACATAAAAGTCAAATAAATCAAATGACGTTAAAGGTAAGGCGAGGAGTTATTCTTACTTAACTTATTATAGAATAAGGGAAATGAATATGTTGAGGCACAGTAAATGAATAATATCAAGCAACACAATTTAATATTACAGTATAAAGTAACAAAATAAAAGAACAAGATTATAGTAGATTGAAAGAGTATATAAATGCATATGAATAACGTG